AGTCTCAAAAAGTGCCGAAGGGACCTCTGTGAATACCACGTACCGCTGGCTGCACTATTAAACGAAGACGGGACTCCGACTTCTTCCCGATACAAGATGGAATCTATCGCGTAGAACTTCTATACCAACCTCTTCCACTCATCAACACCCGTGCCGATGCCCGTTGTTCCACTGGAGAAGTACCACCACGAATTCTACCTGCTGAAGTGCGCACAGCGATTCAGATTATGAAGACGTCCACGGCTCCAGGATCAGACCATCTTTCCGTCGAATCTCTGCGAGCTGGAGGGCAACGTCTACACGAGATTCTCGCGTCGCACCTAACATCTTACCTTCAGAAGGAAAGGATTCCCGACTAGTGGAGAACATCAAGAACCTTCCTTCTTTTCAAGAAGGGTGAACGGAAAGATCTTCGGAACTACCGTCCAATATGCCTGCTGAGCGTGCTGTACAAGCTTTTCACGAAGGTTATCCACGCTCGCATATCTAGGACACTGGATGAAGCCCAACCCCAAGAACAAGTTGAATTTCGCAAAGGATTCAGCTGCATGGACCACATCCAGACGGTATCGAGGGTCATAGAAATTTGCAGGGAGTATCGACTGCCTCTCGTCCTAACCTTGGTCGACTACGAGGAAGCTTTTCAGCGTCGAAAAGAACGCCATCCTGTCTGCGCTATTCGATCAGGCTGGACCCATTACGTGAGGACATTAGCCGACTGCTATAAGGAGTATATAACGACGATGCAGCTATTCCATCGCCCCCGACCATCCCAATTGGAAAAGGGGTCCGACAAGGCGACACAATCTCGCCGAAGCACACCGCGTCCTTGCAGTGGGTGATGAAGTCACTGGACTGGGACGAGAGAGACATACGAGTTGATGGGAGATTCCTGTCGAACCTTCGTTTTGCGGACGACATCGTTCTCTTTTCGAGCAATATCACTGAAGCAGAGACGATGCTGAAGGAGCTGAACGAAGTAGGGAAGAAGATCGGATTGCCAATCAATCGGAAGAAGACTCAGTTCACGAAGAACGCCCTTTGCGAAGATGCAGAAGGAATTGGAGGCACCCCTATCACGGAGACGTCTTCTACGTGTATATCGGACGTTCGATGAACATGGAGAACGACTTGAGGGAAGAACTTAACAGGAGAAGAAGAGCAGCCTGGGCCGCCTTCGGGTCTCTGAAGGAAGCCAGCGACCAACTGACGGACCCGGAGCTTCGTGCCCACTTGTTCAACTCAACCATTCTCCCGGCGCCCTGTTACGCAGCTGAGACTTGGGCTGACACCGTCGCCACTTCGAAAGCTTTAAGGACTACCCACAGAGCGCTAGAGCGTAGTCTTCTGAAGATGACCCGACACAAACAACATCTCGTCGGACTTCGCAGTACGGATATGAGAAGAATGTCCTGTCTTCGTGACCCAGCGGATTACGTTGCGAAAGCGAAGCATCGATGGGCCGGTCACATTATGAGAAGAACAGACAACAGATGGACACCAAGAACATCGGATTCCTCGCGAAGCAAAACGTCCCCGAGGGAGACCTCCAACGAGATGGGCATACGTGTTCGTGGAACGGATGGACCAGCTGAGAAATCAGCTGGATACGATTGCACCTGGAACTCGTGGACGCAGCCACCGACATCAGCCAAGAAGATCGTGGATGTCTGAAGCGAGGGACAGGGAGAAATGGAAACTTTTGAGCTGGGGCCCGCACGTCACGTGAAGCCGGGCCATCTAAGTATCTAAGTAAGTATCTATTCATGGTGAATATTCTCTCTCCCGAGGGTTTCACTCTTTACAGTGATGCTCCTTATCATAAACTCTGCACCGTTGGAAGTTGTGGATCGAAAGATTTACTATATTGCCACCTCGGGATTTAATCGTAGGTTTCAGATTTTTGCCAGTTTACTCAAAATGACCGAAGTTGAGGTAATTTTGTTCTCCTGCTTCCAACTCTACAGCTACTCCTTGTCGGAGAGCAGAAGGCACTATCACAAAGACGAAGGTTTTTTCTAACTAACAGAATTAAGCTCGTGCAAATACGTCTGGAGAGCAAGAAGTTGTTTCGAAAATGACTTTACAAAAATTTTGCATCAACCATAGTATAAGCATGCCGAATCGGCAGGATTGGTTGCCCACCTGTTGCTCAAAAATTGGCGGATGTTTTTTTACAGTCACACGTTTAGGACTCGCACCGTGCGCGGCGCTCGCTTTGACGCTCTCATGTATGCCCCTCAAAACCTCCGGTGCTAAAGTAGCCTGGCGGGGGATTAAGGGGTGGCGGGCAGGACCCGGCATAGATCGTATTGGAGCAGGCTGGACTTCGCTTTTGGGGCGAATAGCAAAGGGATATCGTTTTTGTGGACAAAAATTGCGTTTTTTGGTCAGCATGTCGTTTGAGGTTTTTTAACGTTTAGGCTGAGAGAAAAGGCTCGCGAAAGTCAAGGGGGTCTGCGTTTTCAAGAAGGTTAGAAACGAACTCATCCCGAGCCCTGGTGGTGGGTAAAGGCAGACACATGAGTCGCCGCCATATGTAACATAGCGCCAAGAGTGCTGCTTGAGCACGTTCTTCGTTTGACGGATGTCGCGGAGCAGCAACGCTGTGAGAAAATTTCGTGCAGGCTGTGAGACACGACCCGCTTCTTATTTCTACTACCCTTACCATATCTTGTAATTCTGCGTAATATAAGCTTTTGTTAAGCGCCTAGCCTAGTTTATCAGGAATCAGGGTATAAGATGGAATTCTTAGCCTGAAACGATTGTTTACGAAAAGCACCTGTATATTCTGTGCGGCTTGAAGCTCAGGACGTACTTTACGCGAATTAGATTTGCTGACTATATATAGTAGGTATAACTTCCACAGCTTGATAGTTGTTTCATCTTTTGAGTTATAAATACTAGATTACTGCCAAATCTCGTCGAGACTAAAATCGTATGAAGTATGTGTGCCCGAGGCCTTAGGGGATAACCCTTTGTTGGGGAATGATGAGCTAAATGATATGACACAAAATGTTGTTTGTTTGTGTAAACAAGTTAGCTAATATAGTTGCGTTAGGAGAAATTAAAACTGAAAGGAAATTGTTAAAATATCCACTACCAGCGAAATCAGTCAAGGTACAGACTTCCGCGGACAGACCTAGGCTACAGCGTCTCCACGTAACGTAACCAGTGGGACACAATCTGTATGTACGTACCGCGGGTCCCAGATTCATGAAGGGAAGGAGACGCAACTCGAAGCGTCCTTGTTAGTGAAGAGTTCAAAGGAGACCGCGCGGTGGTCCCGGAACGACGCTCCTGAAAGCACCTTCAAGACTATCCCTAGGGAAAGAGTTTTCCTGTCTTCTCTTTTTCTCTCTCTCCCTCTCCTTTTCCCTCTCTCTCTCTCTCTCTCTCTCTCCTTCTATCCAACACGGTTTTGCTAGACTTTAACGCGATTGGGGCCTTTGGTCATATAGCGTAGGAGTAGGCGGAGTGTATCTCTTTCGACTGTTGATTTATATCAACGGCTCATGACGATACTGTTCGATATTCATGCAAATCTGTGAAGCTTTTACCTGACATCAGATGGAGGGCTGAAGCTCAGGCTGATCTCAAACAGGGATCTCTCGTGCACTTTGATGAACTCTTGAACGAAAACATTTTATTAGTGAAAGTTCAAGATACGTTTTTTGAGCATCGACAGCCGCCTGCCTTGAGGTTTTATTGACCAGCAGCTTTTGCTAATATGAGTTCAAATACTCTCCCTCGTAGTTTGCTTGTTCACATTCCTTCATTTTGTACTTGCATCATCCGCATCGCATCCATCTCTTGTTATTATTTGCTTAGATTGATTAATACAAAATCGCTCTTTCAATTACCTATGTATTGAGTTTAGCCCTCTGGAGAACATCGCTGCAGAGTTCCTATTTCGAGTTCCTTCGTTTCCTTTGTCGGCGGTGCAGCAGGTTGCGAGAGCCTGCTCGATAGACGGTACTCAGTTGCAAGTGATATTTTCAATGTTTTACTCGATTACTGTACGTGAAGTTGCTAGCCAGCTAGCCTGTCCATCTTTGTCACTCATACGATCTTTCGATTACATAATAGGTATCTAACATGTGATGCTGTCCCTTGCCAAACAAATCAATTAGTTCTAAACGAAAATGCTTCTTTGAAAATTTTTTCCTGAATGAAGTGGCAATTTAACAGTTGGGTTTTCTAATCGTAGTTTCCCGCTCATCGTTTCCACGAACCTTATGTATTTTTCGTAGCCATTGTGGCAATTCTCATCATTTTCAGCGCAGTGTTGTGGCAACATTATTATCTGCAAGACGTGGAAAGTCTTTATCGGCTACTGATCTTTTTCATTTACTGTTTTTATCGAAGGTAGTAGGAATAAGTCGATTTGTAGTCTGTTGATAACTTTTCATTATCCACCAGTCTATGCCGGATCAACATGGAGAACCTTGTGGATCTGCTTGCTAGCTATCAACAGGAGGAACAGCTGTTGCCTGAGGTATGCTGTTCTTCTGCACCTATTTCTTTTGTTTTTTCTTGGAACTGATCAAGAAGTGCAATTGATAATAAACAATAAAGGATTCAGCCTGTTTCGCCTCTATCCCTATACAGGAATACAATAACTGAAAACCATTCTTGAGGCTCTTCAGTAGGGAAGAGTGGTTAACTGACAATAGTGGTATAGTGCTGGAAATTTACACCGGTTTGGTAGGGCAAAAGATTAAAAAGATTAGCAATGATCTAGTCTATCAATTACGAATTTTAACAAAATGTTCTATACAATGGTTTTACGAGGAATGTTCGTAAATATGTTGGTGAAATCGGCTGAAAACAGTTTAAGGTTGTTTGCATCAATGTGGTTAAATTTGTAGGAAATATTAATATCATTCATAGACCAATAAGTATCCAGACAGTTTTTATTAATGCGTGCAATTTTAGTATAGTTTTTGAAATGGTTTCGGAAAAAGTTGAAAATATGCATTCATTCTTCTGATAACGGTTTAATGCTTCTGTTCGAAGCACCTGTAATAAATATTTAAGCGGATTTTTATGTAATTTGGAGAATGCAATAAATATTTGGAATGGTTCAGACTTTATTGATTTCAAGATTATGGTTTTTTGAAAATTGCAGATGTTTAGTAGTGATGGTCCAATGTCTAATGTCCCAAATAGTCATAGATAGGAGTAGTGAACATGTTAATCAATCCCTTTTCTGACATTAATAATTCAAGGTAAAGTTTTTGCAAATAATGCTATAATTCGAGTTGGCTTTGTCCAAAGGGCAAAATATGAAGAACTTTTGATAGTGTTTGATATTTGAAATAGGAAGGCTATAACTGTTATTGTCAATATTATAAATCAATATACTATAGTATTTGAAAAAGTGTCTGTTAATTCACTTTTTATGGTAGTTGAAACTATATTGTCTAAGGAATATTTTGTTTTGTATTTTTCGCAAATTATGTTAAATAAATCAAGCCATAAGCTTTTGATTTGTTCTGTAGAATATCTATATGGATATCTTACTTTTGTACCTTTATTCAAAACATTAAATTTGTTTATATCTCTCCTGTGACAACATGTTCACGTGTAGGGTCTACGTATTATTGGTAGTTTTTACAAATACATGGAGCATCGTCCATGTTGAGGTTGTGAAGATTATTAAGAAATTTATTATAATTGTATATATCACAAGAGGCATATGTTGTGTATTCATATATTATTCTGATAGGTTATATGTTTCGATGAAGTTTATGATAGATGTGTTATTTACTATTTTGTTGATATTAGTATTATCTAAAATGCTATCATAATAAGGAAATTTTATATTCTTATATGCAGTAATATTCTTGTCGGGTACTCTGCTAAAATGGTAATGACAGAGTATACTATACAATGCATATTCGAAATTATAAGGAATATCTAGGGATTCAAGAATAAAGGTTGATCTATTAATTAGTGAGGAAATATAATGTTTATTTTTATTTTTGATCTGTAACAATAGCTTTGAGAGTAAAAACACCATAAAGTTTAAAGCTTACCTTCTTTTTGGTACAAAGTTATCTTCCTTTGAGATCATCGGCTTCATCGGACGCCTGCAAATGATATTTGCAGTGATATAAACATCAGTGATAATAGCAAAGGCTCACCTCTTGCGGTTGGGGAAGGGGGCTTGAGGCGGCAAGTTTACAGTTGTAGAAGACTAGGCGGACGCAATGAGACTTATCAACCTTGATTTATCAACTATGAAATGATCCCCGTCGGGAGTGAAGCAAGGGACGACATCGGCCATCTTCAATCTCAGTGCGCTTTCGGGCATTTTGAAATTATTGCATTGAGATTTGATTGGGCGCTGCACCACTTTTTGCCGGCTGGGTGGACATGCTCCAGGCGTGCTATTTACGACTACAATAACAGTTTTTAGAATTATCAACTACTTTTGTCAAATTTACGGGTTTTCTCACATAGTTTTAGCTGTTGGCGTGGCAAAAATGTTCTGCCAACATGTTGTGGCATGTGGCAAACATGTTGTCGCCACGTTGTCACTTACTTTGTTTGTCAAATTCAGCCTTCATAGGACGACCCGACTTAGTAGACGACAATTCAGAGGAATCCTCGGCTTTGCAGTGGTCCAGTGCCCGCATGAAAATCTGCAATTTATGTCATCTGTTTATCTATTTATCCACTGTTAACTATTCAAATTACTGATGTATTATTTCCGGCTTCATTTGGCGTAATTGATTGCACTCCTGGCTCATGATTGAGAACACGTGTCGCACACGCTGCCCATACGACGAACAAGAGAATTTATACTGATATTTCTGTTACTTTAATTGGGCCGGAATGCGAGAAAATGGGGTATAGGACGATTTGCACAACCGTAATGCTGTCACACAGGATCACGGCCGCGCGCCACACACCCTGCGGCGGCTTTTGCCTAAGCAAAACAGGTGGAGGAAGGGTTTGCGGCCAGGGCCCGGCACAAGGTGGGCAAACGGGGTTTTCCAAAACGAATACCCCTTTGATCCCAGTAAGTTTTACGAATACTCCCTTGAGCCCAGAAATGACGTTTTGTGCTTGTGCGACGAGATTACCGGCCACACTTCGCCTAAAAGCGCTCAAAAGCGCCCAAATTGCTCAAATTCCTCATATTACTCAAATTGCTGTACCAAGATAGGAAACAGGAAGAAAAATAAGCAGTAAAAAGGATTAGGGAATGAGAAAATATCAAAGAAACGCAGTCATAGGAATGAGAGACGCCGTTCCCGCGCGTATCGATTGACTGGGGCGCGCTTTCTATCTTATAAAGCTGGGCTGCTGATGCCATTTTGGGCTCCAACAAGGACAAGAGGAGGAGTTTCGGAACCAAAATTTCACCATGTAGTAAACTTTAGGTGTACAACAGATTTATGTAAAAATTTTGAGAAAATTATGTGAATTAAGAGTTTTGCCGACCTCAGGTGGGAATTAGGTTGGCAAATGCCGACCTAATTTGGAAATAAGTTAAGGAAACTCTTCATTCACATAAGTTTTTCATAATATTTCATACTTTATTACTTAGTCCTATTGCGCATATACACACCGAAGCCCGCGCGATTTCGTTACCTCTGCGTTGCAAACGAGCCATTTTTCCATTTCTTTGGTAGCGAAAAATTTCCAGAAAAAAGTTTGCCACAACCTTCAGTCACATAAATTCTCAATGAAACTCCTCAGTTAAGTCCTGCAAGCCCGTGTGCATGTACTTACCAAGTTTCATACCATATCGTTCATCTGCGCTTTCCAAACGAGCCGTTTAAATTCACATTTTCATTTACCAGTTTTGCGAAAATCTCGGAAAAAATGCTAGTTACTCGTTCCGTTCACATAAGTTTTTCATAATTTTTCATACTATGTTTCCACTAGCCTCTGTCCGTTCGCACACAAAATTTGGTGCCATATCGTTACACACACATTGAGAACTAGTCATGTATGCAGTTACAAATAGCATCCCTTGGGCGACGTCGCGCGTGCGGCACTTAGCGACGGCGCAGTTTGACGCGCGCGAACTCCAGTGTTCGCCTGTTGAGGCACATAACATGTCAAGATAAGTAGCGAGCATGAACTACCAATTTTTTTCCGGAGCTCTGCCCCGGACCCCGCAAAAACGATTTCCCTTTTGCTTTTTGGCCCCAGAACGATTCCCAGCTTGTCATTTGCCGACCTCGTGCCGGGCCCTGTTTGCGGCATGAGTTACATGTGAAGACAAGCCAAAATCAGGGTGGGCGGAAGACCGCCATTGTGAAGAGACTGTCTCCCGAAAAAATGTCTGTTCCACAAGCTGCAAATTACCGCAATTTTGCACAATAAAGCGTTACTGCCGCGAATAAGCATGTATTCGTAACCGCCATGTCTGAAACCTTTCTAGGCAAAGTTGTGAGCAAATTCGGAACCTCGACCCATCTACCGTACACCCGCCGTAACCCAAAAAATTGAGGCTATTCGAAAAATCGCCATGATATCCATGTTAAGCAGGCTAATTAACCCCCCCCCCCTAGGCCAAATTTAAAACAAATTCATGGTTTTGAGCCCATACCATATATCCACCGTAACTCCATAAAAAGGTCCCAAAACGCAAAATGAGTGTGATATTCGTAATCAACATATCGATTAACCCCCCTAAGCCAAGTTTCCGCAAATTTCGTGATTTTGACTACTTACCGTATACGCACCGTAACCCCAAGAAATTGGCGCTACCGCGCAAAATCATGATATTCGGCATCAGCGGGTTGAATAACCCCTAGACGTATAGGCGATTTGTTGCACGCAAAGACTTCGGACGCATCTGCGTCTCCCTCATCGATCGCTTTTTCGTTTCTGCTACCGTCTGCGATCTCTCCCATGCACAAACTATCTTGGCCGGACGCAGCGGTGCCCAGTCTTTGCGTACCACGAATCGTGATAATTTGAGCCAAATCCAAAACAAAGAAATGTTGGGGCCGGATAGCCGAACAGCGCCGATTTCTTCAACGCAAAGAAGTCACAACGAAAAATGGTGAAGGCGTATCAAGGATGTTCAAAATCATGAAAACCGGTGTGTGGTCGTTGGCACTCTCATCACACCTCACCAGTTTTTTGCGACAAATAGATGAAATTGGAAGTAAAACGTGACTTAAACGAAAGGAAGAGAAAGGAAGAATAGACGCAATGAAAACATGATTGTAAACCACTGAAAGCCGATATGGTTAGCGCGACTAATTGAATGTGGTGGACGCGATCACCGCGACACATGTCAATTCACGCCACATTTCTGAAATAAAATTTTTGAACCTGATTTTTATGCTTTTCTGTTGCTTCTGCTTTTTGTTTTCTTCTGTTGGGACGGGATCATAGGCTACTTTTCGTATCGATCGATATCGATTTTATCGATTTTTTTGCAGAGTTCACCTACGGGGCTGGGAGTTGGTACAGGGGGGGGGGGGTAAGTTAGCATGCTGATTACTAATACAGTATTAGTTTTTGGATTCATCCATTACTTTTATCGATTTTATCGATTTTTTGCAAAGTTTAACCTAGAGTGCTGAGAGTTGGCACAAGGGGTAGGTGAGCATGCTGAGAATTCGGCGATAGGGAATTTGCATGGAGAAGTGGCACAGGGAAGGATTCTGCACAGATAAGGATGGAACCTTTATCAAAGTTTTCACTGAACCGGGCGGAGCCGGGTATGCCAGCTAGTAAATTTATAGAGTTCATAATATGTTGAATGCTTAATAAAATTTTTGATTTCTTCAAGTATAGATTGTCTGTATATATGATGATTTCTTTTTTTATTAACTTTATTACTTTCTCGATTGCTTCCGTCTTTAGATGTGCTTAGATTGAAAAATGGATGATTAATTCTATGATTTAACGGTCTCAATTATTTTAGATTTCCATAGCCTTTTATATCATTGAAGCCGAAAGGCATACTGTCATCAAGTTTTATCCAAAAGTTCTGTTTCCCTAAGTATATTCTGACCCGTATTTTCCGGTGAATTATACAATATTATTGCTGTGATATTATTGGGATTGTAACTACTATTTCTGAAATGTTTATAAAAAAAGTTCATTACCATGCTTTCTTTTGATTCCCCGCATATGTTTTCTTATTCTAACAACAAGTTTTCTTTTAGTAAACCAACATACTGCAGTCCACAGCCACAGCATGTAAGGCAGTATACCAAGTGAGTCGAACTGCAGTTTGCATTTGAAGTCTTATACGTTTTGATGTTTGGATTAGTCGTGTTAGATTTTATGCAATTGTTAGGGGTTAATATTTTTGTACAGATGTCACTTGAAATATTACAAGTAGTGTCTAAATTGTCATTGCCAAACTGCAGTAGGTTGCATTCGCCGTTTACCTTACCCTTTTGAAGAACGTACTCCGAAAATAAGAAGATGAAGTGTGACTAGTTTACCTTTATTTTTGAGCCAAAAATCGAACGGTCTAATCCCATACCAGAGGGTAGGTTACTCTAGGTCTCGGAAGTGCTGGTTCCAGGAGGTGGCGCTCCCTAAAAAAAATACACCGGAGGCGTAGTACTTACCCTCCCTTGCCAGTAGCTACTTGTGTGAACCCCATCGGTAGTATTAGTGAATGAAACAAAGAGAATAAAGACTAAACTAACCTTAGTTTAAGGTAAACGCCCCCACCCCCACCCCGACCCCCTCCCCCATGTGTATTCATATCCATATAATTACCGCCATTTGCAACTATTATCTACCTGCTTGGTAAGCGAGTAGAGCGGTTCCAAGAATGCTTTGAGGTTTTCCATGAAACGTACATCGCTCTCCTGCAGCTGTGGTAAGCTCATCTTTGTCATGAGCTCGGTAAATACTGGCATCTGAGGAAATAATAATTAATCGGATATTCCGTTTTGACAGTGAGTCGAAGGCCTTCGAAAGGTCTATCCAGAGCATGTGCAACTCTTTCTTATGCCTCAAAGCGTCTTTTATGACACTTTGGTCTAGTATATGGGCATGCGTGCATCCCCATACAAGAAGTTGTAATCTTACTCGGTAGCCAGCAAAAATTTAAAAATTAATCTTTGGTGAATACCAAGATGGAGTATATGAAACGACAGAAAAAATCCAAATTTTCCATCTATTCTGACGTTATTTACTACCAAAAATTTCACCGCTTGTCATCCACGGGCACCCCATCTAAGATTATAATTCTCCTCTCAAGTGAGGCTCGAGGCAGCAGTTGCGCACCCACCAGCAAGAAACCCTTACTGGATGTTATCGGGTAATAAAGATCTACTACTAGCGAGATAGTCGACGACATAACGCCAAGCATCGTTAGATTTGCCATTTCCAAGCGGCATCCCTCTTCATCAAGTAGGCTTCGAAGGATTCTCAGAGGTGGAGGGCGGTAAGAGGGCACACTGCCGCGCTTAAATTGCGAAATGGCTTGAGCGCTGTCGTTTCAATAGGTATCGCTCCTTCGACAATGAGTCGAACTACACTTCTGTGCACTGCCATTTGAGGATCACCAAAAGCAGGGTTGTCGTAAATTCCAGCCTCAAAGCCTCGCTTTCTGATAATGTTGCCCAGTTCGTCACCATGGCTTGTCCTCAAGTAACCCAACAAATTAGTTGTGGCCTTGGATTTGGGAATCTTGACTGAGCGTTGACACAATATACATATGCCGAGAAGATTTCCAAATCCATCGTTTGTTCTGCGAAAATAATTCCAGACGGCCCTCATTTTTAGAACCCAAGCCTAAAACAATGAAAACTGTGACTTCAAAAATCAGGATAGCTGATACGAACGCGTCTTAGACGATTATGCAAACGGGATCACGTAGGACGGACACAGATAGAAATTAGATCCTCATGGATGGCACATGGGCACGCGATGATATCGTATTGGGAGCAAAAAGCAAACGGGAATCACCGTGCCAAGTGAGGATTACGGCAGCATTGCATGTATCGTCGTCTCTCCGGCGTACGTTGGGCGGAGCCTAGGCGCTTTGCGGAATCTGAAAAACGATAGAGAAAACACAAAAAAAGCTCTTGGACGCCGTCGCATACGAAAAATTAGCTGATCGGCGAAATCGATCGGCAGCGCTGCGCTGCGCGGCCGATCGATTTTGCAGATCAGCTGATTATTTTTCGGCGACGGCGTGCAAGAGCTTTTTCTGTGTTTTCTCTATCGTTTTTCCTTCAGATTCGAGGGGATTTGCCGGCAATAGATGGGAATGGGTCACTAGTACTGTTTTGGTGCAAAATTGTTCAGTCGTGTTGCAATTTGTGTCGTTCACATGGTTTGTTCCCTGCCGACTTCTTGCTACTGAAAATTATTTTGTTTCAAACATTGTTCCAAGAAACCGTCTATAGGTGTGCACTTCAAACTATTTTTGTTTTGCGTCGTACTTTCTAAATGAACTTTATGTTGTAATTATGAATTGCTTGATCTATACATTGCGGTGTTTTCCTTCTACTCAGATAATCGCCGGGGGCAGGCGGCCATGCGAATTTTGAGCAAGCGGGTACCGGAAAAATAGTTCGCTGATTTCTTGCGGTCCGGCAGAAATTTGAAATAATTTTGGCCGATTTTTAGATGAACGCTCGGAGAACTAGCGCGGTCTTTCTATGGATAAGTTGCGGCCTAGTGGCCGCATTCTCGCAGACTTTCCGCGAGAATATGCAAGGTGTTGGGGGCCGCACGGTCCTTTGTGAAGGACTGCACTGCCCAGGGTACCTTCCGCGTAAAGAAGGACCCTGGATCCCAAACTTGGGTAATGAGACCATCGATGACACCTCTGCCACTTAGCGTCTCATCTTTTCTAGGACTCTTTTTACGCCCGAAACAGCGTAAAAAGAGTCCGAACGCTCGCTGAAAGAAGGTATTTGTCGAGCCCTTGCAAAAAATGCTGTATCCTGCCCGCAGGCAGAATATGCGACCATAAAGGAAGTGCCGCCCGCTGAAGGTTTGGCCACGCCACGAAATTCTGCTGACCGCCTGCAGAAAAGCGCGAGTTTGCGGACCGCCTGCCCACGGCGATTATCTGAGTATTTGTGATAGTAAAAGCCGCAATCCGGACCATCCGTTCATTGATTAACGAGATGCACCGTAATATGCAGTCTTGCCTGTTGATGATCTGCTGTATAAATCATACAATCTCAGCGATTTCGGTGGCAGTTTTTTTTGCTATCCACATAAGCAAGATGTATGCTGTACAGCATCATCGACGCTGAAATTGCTTCAACTTCTAGTTCTTTTGGTCAAAGGCTGTTTATGCAATAATGCCTTCGAAATACTAACTCTCACTTCGTCGTACTCTATTAGGACTTGAAATTGATGTTTGCATCGTGTGGTCTTGAACTTTTTCATTACTATTTTTATCTCTTTCAAACTGGCGTCTTCCATGAAAACAGAGTTTTGACATAGAATGCATGATTCTGGACCGATGGGGGAGATAAGTGAACGAATTTGGTTGTGGCAGATAAGGAATCGGCGGCATATCGCAATTTTTCTTGACCAGTCGGCTCATTATTTACAATTTAGCGTTTGTCGTGCTTTCAATACTTTGGTAGGTTAATGCTTTCTTACCTGATTGGGATTCTTGAATTTTATTGTTGGTAGTTGTTAGGCGAAGGTGAAAATTCGTCGTTATCCCCAATTTGTCGCTCATTACAGGTAAGACAGGAAACTTAAGAAATGCTCATAGTTTTTCTAAACATAATCTGTAACTCACCCCTGTGTCTTTGTTAAGCAATTTTTTGGAACTAAAAGAAGATTTGATGTGGTGGTGCATTTTTGCACAATATATACAGGGCTTATCAAACGCAGTGTTGCTTGCATCAGCATCTCCACTCCCGCGCTGGACTCTGCGTCTCTTCCGCGAACATGCACTCTAATCACTTTCAGTCGATTAAGGTTCCGGTTCTCCCACGCTCGTCCTGGGAAAGTACCAGAGAGCATGTTCGCGGAAGCGACGCAGAGTCTTACGCGGGATGGAGATGCTGATGCAAGCGACACTGCGTTTGATAATCCCTGTAGGTCTGGATGACACTGTCTGAAGAATTCACATATTCTTTATTTTCAGACGACCGATAAGGAACAAGCTATGAATGGCTTGCTGAGAGAGACAAATATTGATACAGTCTTATATATAAAGCTGAATGTCTGTTTGTATGTCTGTATGTCTGTCTGTATGTAGGTATGATACAAATAGAAAATTTTATTTTTAAATCGATCCTGACCAAACTTGGCACACATACACTTCGAGACGTAGGCCACTTTTCAGGTGTCACTTTTCGTCATTGTTCTTGATATCGATTTTATCAGTTTTTATCGATTTTTCGTGAAGTTCGATCTACGGGGCTGGGAGTTGGCACAGCGAGGTAATCAAGCGTGCTGATTACGAATACTATATTAGTTTTCAGAATTATCCGCTTCTTTTATCGATTTTATCGATTTTTTGCAAAGTTCGGGCTTCGGTGCTGGATGTAGGCATAGAGGGGTAAGTGAGCATGCTGATTACTAATACAGCGGAAATAGGGAATTGGCATGTAGAATTGGACACAGGGAAAGGTCAGGGATAGGGATAAGATCTTTGTCATAGTGTTTTGACAGGGCCGGGCGGAGCCGGATAAGCCAGCTAATAATCTTATATTTGTAACGCCTCTTCAAGATTGGACATTCGAGAATGCTATGTGAAGCCACGCTACGCTATATCCCAGAAATCAAAGATCTGATTGTGGATGTGCCACTATATTGAATGGAAAGGAAAACGAATTGAAACATGAAAATCTGCCTTGCGTTGTTCAAAAGTGGCAGAGTGATCCTGTCTTACATCGCAATACTTCAGACCGACATGACTTAACTGCACCTAGTTTGGCAAAGCAGATTGATTGACATAAACATGCAGCTATGCTCAAATTCCAGGAGAAGAGCGTACAAAATGGTTGTGCATGAGATATCCTCACGCTCAACTTTTCAGACGTCTAAGAGTAGCTTTACCAGATCATTGAGAAATTTACGTATACATGTGCATAATCTAACTGGAATTACAAGTCCGTTTGCCTGTCTGTTTGTATGTACGCCCGCGTATTAAAATCCCATTTTTGACCGATCCGGACCACTTTGCCCAGATTGCCCAGACTTTAAGGCGGGGTTGGTGTCATAACTTGTTAACGATCGTTGTCGATTTTATTAGTTGTTTGCAAACTTTAAAGGCAGTGGGTCGGCAAAATCCAACAACTCGGGATTTTAACGCGATAGGTTCCTTATCGCCCAACTATGAAAACAGTGCAATCCCGGTTGCACAGCATGCTTTCCCTGCCGAGAAAATCGCTCTCGAACTTACACGCGCAGGCCAATCTTACACGCATCTGGACGAGTTGGCAATTTCCTTCTCACCATTGGAGGCTGCCCGCCGCAACGCTATAACCATTGGGTCCTGCCACGATTTAGCGTCATGGGCCTTGCTCCACTCGTCCAATATCGAAGGGAAGGGCATTAAAAAACGCTCATTTTCGCCGTTTTCAAACTTCCAAAAGTGGATTTTCGGGATCAGCGTATTGAAAAACCCCAGGTAAGCGCAAATTTGACTACGTTGAGATTTGCCGAGCCACTGCCTTTAAGCTGCTGCCGGGCTGGGGGCTGCCCCACGGAGTAAGTGAGCATGCTGATTACGAACACAGACTAGTTTTGAGCACTATTCAATTTCTCGTCGTATTACGGGGTGGAAATGCACAGAGGAGAAATCGAGAGTGCTGATCCGAAAAGATAGCTGGGCAGAGAAGTTGTTACACGGAGTTGGACAGGGACAGGGGAATGTTGTACAAAAAGCAATGGGAACTTCTTATCACAGTGTGTTGACAAAGCCCTGTGG